CATATTTCACAGCCATTTTCAAACACCACAGACCCAACCTGGCCCTCTGTCCCCTCCTGCTCTGCTGTGGACAAGGCGTGGACCCTCACCCAGCTCTGCCCGGGGGAAGGAGCAGGGACAGGCAGACATTGCTCAGGACAGGCCGTTCCCAGAGCCTGCAGAGGGGGGGTGGCCAGTGTCCCCTGCTCACCTCCAGCATCCACAGCTGCCACTTCGACCCATCTCAGCTCAGTCCCACCAGCTCCCACCTCCTGGTGCCCAAACACCCACATCAGCCGGGCTGTGGCCATGTGATCCCCACTCACGTCCCACCTGCCCTCTGCTGCTGTTGGTTTTATTTCCTTTCCAGGTTCCTCGGCTCCGGTCTCTGCTGCTCCGTGTTTGGAGGACAAGGTCTACCCAGGCTCCACTCTTCACTTCTCCCCGGTGGCACCGGCCCTTTGCAGTGCAGGCAGTTCTGTTCCCTCATCAGTTGTATCCCATGTCCTTATGGAAGGTGATTCCCTCCATCCCAGGGCAACAGCATCTTCCCAGGATAAGTTGCAGGGGACTGTGCCAGCCCAGGATGGCTGATCTGGGGGGAGCCGCCCCAGCTGCCAACTCCCCGTGGGAACCATCACCCCAAAACCGGGCCTGGGACAAACCTGGCCTTGCAGCCATCGCTGCCCCGGGGAGGAGGCGAGGAGTGAGAGTCCCAGTGGGGTCCTGCTGGGGTTTCAGGGCCGGCCGGAGCTGGGAACATCCCTGCCCTCTTTGTGCTCCCCTGGAAAGCGGCGCAGTGCAAATATCAGCCGGGTTCTTTGAAATGAAAATAAAACTGATAAAAGTCGGGCAAATCCTCCTCCCGGCCCCCGCTGCCGGCCCGGGCAGTGGCTCTTTCTGCCGCCGAGCCGGCTCCCGCAGTTATCAATACATTATGTATGCCGGTGTCCGTCGGCCAGAGCCTTTTGTTGATGCTGAATATGTCCTGGCCAACAAAAGTGGACTGGATTAGCCACAGTGGATTAAAAGATTTTCTTCTTGGAGTTTACCTAATAATATAACAATTGACATAGAAGGTCTCTTTGAACCCTACACGACTCTCTTATTTTACCATCTGTGAGTTTGCTCTCCGTGCCGCTGATGGGGCGCCCGGCTGCCGGTGGTGCTGGTGGTGGGAACGCCGCCCGGAGCCGAATTTGTCGCCGAGCAGAAGAAAACAGCCCGTGTTTGGAGGGAGGCAGCGGGAAGGGAAAGTGGCACAACTTCTGTCCTCCTGCCTTTGTCCTCGGCCCTTCTGCTGGTGGCTCACCAGGCTGGCGATGCCGCGGCGTGGGGAGAGAAGAGACCCAAGGAGTGGGCTCAAGCGGTGGGGAAGCCACCCGCTCATCTGCAATTCGAGGTGCCTGGAGAGGTGCCGGACGGGATAAGCTCCTTTATTAACCATGAATTTTGGGAGAGTTGCCGAACTGTGAGCCAACAGAGTTTGCTCGTCTCGGTTTCAGCCGTTGGGATCTGGCCGCTGTCCGTGGTCTCCATTGCAAGATGGGTCAGGCAGCGGCGGCAGCGACACCGGGAAACATGGAGGGCAGTGGCAGCAGGGGAGGAAGGCTCCCCCCAGCATCCTGCGGCGCTGCCGTCGCTCGCCCCCTCCTCCGGCACACCCTGGCGTCCCAGCCTCGGGCTTTGATCTCATCCAGGGGGGGCTCCATTCACAAGTCTTTCATCGCAGTCTTTGGAAATACCCGTCCTCAGAAGTCGCCAGTAATGAGATGGGGAGACGACGAGCAATTTAGGCGCCGCTCTTTCTCGCTTGCGTTTTTTTTCTCCATATCCCCCCCCTTTTTCCCCCCCCCCTCTTTTTTCTTTTTTTTTTTATCTCTTTTTTTGCAAAGACACTTCTGGAGCGGTGCCGACTTTTGTATGGGATCACCGCGCCACCCCAGACCTGCCGGGGGGGGGCAGGAATATGGGGCTCGTGCCTCTCAGCCGGGGGCCTTTGATGAAGCTGCTTTGCGAAATTTGATTTGAAAGGCCTACGATGGCAATTTGGGGAGAATGGTGGAGCCTTTCTCCACCCGCCTCTCTTTGTCTCCCGCCCGAAGGGGGGTTCCATTGTGGGTGCCGGGGCGAGGGGGTCGGGGCGGCGGCGTGGGTGGGGTGGGGCGGCGGAGCGACCGCGGCGCGGGAGAACAATGAGCGGGAGATGGGGAGAGTTGGGATTCTCACCTGCCCGGGCGTTCGCAGTCCGCCATGACGGGAGCAGCCGCCCTGGTTGCCGCCGGCCGCAGCACTTTTTTTCCCCAGACTCTTGAACCTTATTTCCCTTTCTTGGCAAGTGCGTGGCTGGAAGATGGGAATCTTTACTTTATATTGCAGCTTGGGCTTCCCAGCCTGATTGGCTGCAGCCAGGACCAAATGCTGGTCCTTCCATCCCATCGTCACTATGGCAACCGGCCCCGTTAGGCACCACCGATTTACTTATAATTGCTGGGTAAATAGTCAAGACAGGCCTCTTTCATCCCACACCCAGAGATTGCTCTTCCTCATCTCCTTTTTTCCCTACTTTTTTTTTTTTTTCCTTGGAGGAGGAAGCCTTGAAGAGCAGCAACACTTAGGGAAACTCTTTGAAGGCTGTTGCAGAACGTGGTGCCTCCCTTGGCCAGCCTTTCCCATTGCTCCCATTGCACAATGCCTCTTCGCTGGGGCTTTCCTGTGCCATCACACCTCATCACCATCAGCCATCACCATCTTCCTCCTTCAAGGAGTGTCACAATGCCCTACCAGCCACTTCTTCTGTCTCCCATAGGGATTCCACACTGGTTCATTCCAAGAGCCAGGACAGTTCCTCCATCGCCTCTTCCCTCCTTCCTGTTCACAGCAAGAGGGATTCCTGCCAGGGAACCAACACTGCCTGGCTCAGCCAGCCCTTTCCCTGGCTCTGTGGGATCTTCTGGCAGTGCTGGCCAGGATGAGGAAGTGTGGTCCTGGCCGTGCTCATCCCAGAACTGTGTCTTCATGTTGAGCCATTCCGAGCTGGGTCTGCAAGACGTGGAGCCTCTTGTTACTCTGGAGGGTGTTAACGATGCTGGACAGAGGGATACACACAGGGCTTGTCACCAGACCTGTGAGTGTGGACATGGGTTTGTGCTCATGGCTGGGTGGGTCCTGCAGATGGGCATAGGGTCCTGGCTCCACCCTCATGGTCCAGGGATGGATGCTGCAGCCAGGGAAGAGCAAACAGCCCAGCCCAGCCTCACAGCTGGAACACCCACACAGGACACACAGGATGTTTCTGCTCCCATTGGTTGTCACTGGCATGGAACAGCAATTCCAGGAAAATGAGGACCAGAGGATCTGAGGGGGAATCTAAAGGCTGAAGAGGTCTGGGGAAAATGGACAGCTTGTGGGCAACAGAGTGAGGAGCAGAGTGGGCTTGAGGCCCAAGGTCATCTTTCCATTCCCTCCTCACAGCCATCAAGAGGGAGGAATCCATCAAGGCAGCAGCAGGAGGAGCACTGGGATATGTTGCCCAAGCTCCTTACTTTGGTGGGAGAACTGGGGGATTCCCCTCCTGGGGAGCAGAGAGAAGACAGAGGTGACCCACAGATGACAAGATGAACCCAGCTGAGAAGGGAGCAGCAGGGAGCCACAGGGCTAGGAGGCATCTCCAGGGATTCTGGTGTGAGGAACTGGTGTGTGAATCCTCAGACAGCCCAACCTACCCACTCCCAGAAAGGGCTGTTTAGAGCCTGGCAGATGCAATAATAAATTTCACATATTCCAAGAAGACCCTGGAAAGGGCAGGTCACTATTTCCAACAGCTGTGCCAGCGAGTTGGCAGAGATGCTCCTGGAAACAGGCTTTTTGGGAACCTGAATAAATATCCCCAACCTGGGAAATTGGGATGATTTTAAAGGGAAGCCTGTCTCCTAAGAGCAGCCAGCTTGGGAGGTGGCAGCAGCAACGAACGATGCCCACAATTGTGCAAAGTGCTGGTGACAGTGCAGTCACCAAAGGTTTCCAGGGAAGCGGGGCAGGCTGGGGAAAGGGGCTGGCTGGTGGCTGGAGCAGCCACTGCCAACACAGCTGGTCCTGGGGCAAACAGCCCACCTGGGGCCAGGGCAAGCAAAAGGAGGCACAAAGGCCTGGGCTCTAGCCACCCACACTCAGAGCCAGCAGTCGGCTCTGAGTGGCTGGGAAGGCTCAGCTCAAACAAACATTCCAGCCCGGATCCAGCCAAGCACTGCAGCGCCCGGGTAACTGCAGGGCAGCGAAGCAGCGAGTGGGTCCATAACCTGCAGCCACACCAGGGACAGTGTCACAGCCCCAGCTGCGCTCTGAGCCAGGAGCTGGCTCTCCAGGCTCTGCCAGGCACGGGGGGCAGGTTTGGGAATCAGGGACGGGACCCTCAGCACGGCCCAAGGGCTGCTGACGGGCTGTGGGTCCCGCCCTGCCTGGGGCTGCTCTCCTGCTTGTGTTTTCTCTCTCTGTTAAAGGCAGCTCCTCTGTCAGGTGCTTTGGGGCTTGGCTGAAAGGGGATTGCTCCCTCTCTGCTGAGCACAAGCTGGTACCTCCCCAGGTACCTGCAGCCTCCCAGCAAGGGGAGCCTCACCTGTGCTTGGGGCTGGGACCAAGGCCCGGCCATGGCGGCAGAGCCCTCCGAGCATCCTCCAGCCGTTGCCATGGCAACTCCTGGCTCAACGGCTCTGAGCCAGCACGGTTTTAGCCACAGCCACTATGGCTTTACCACATGCACCCACTGCCCAGCTCCCATGCCAGGGTCTTGTCACCCTCCTCCCTGTTTTCCCATCACTGCCGTCCCCTCCTGGTCCCTCCACAAGGGACCCACCGCCTGCTCCTCCTCTCAGAGAGTGGCTCCACAAACTCCCTGAGCAAAAGTACTTCCACAGAGCCCTGCAAAGGCCTTAATTCACCTTTTTCTGCGGTGTATCATGCAGAAAACAAGGGAAAACCAGTAACAGGTGACACGGCATTCACAGAGGAGAAGGGAGCTCCACAGGGCAAGCAGATCTGGGTACAGGTGATTTTCCACCTCTGCACTTCTGGATCTGCACATCCCGGGACCACCTGGCTGGGTGGAAACCTGCTATCCCAGTGCCTGCATCCAAGGAGATTTCCCCCAATTTTTGGTGCTGGCACACAGGTCCCATGCTTTAAATCAGTGGTAGAGAACTGCTGTAAAAAGAAAAAGCAAAAGCTGTTGATTTCTAGAGGAAAAGCCTCACAGCAAGACGTGAAGCTCAGTGTTAAATAGACTGAGAGGTTAAAGTGTGAGAAAGAGGAGAAAATCCCAGGTATGGATAAGCCCTGCACTGGGAGCAGAGTGTGACAAGGCTCCATTCCCAAAGCTGGAGCAAGGCCAGCTTGAAGTTAGGAGTAACTTTCCACCCCTTAAAAGTTCCCAAATCCTTGCATGGCTTTTAGGAGGAGGATTTAATTGAAGTCAGATCTTTGCCCAGCCTTGGAACTGCAGGGACAAATCACGAGGAATAAAAAAACAGTGGATATATGGATAGTGATGGACTATGTGGGCAGAGTCATCTCACATCCTGCTGGGCAGGTGAGACTCGGCTAGGAAAATCCACTTGGGTCTCCTAGCACATGCAGATGGGTCCATATTAAGGGCTGTCAGGGAAATTAAGGTGCCTTGGAATGTGTGGGCAAGTGCCCATGGGAATAAATACCTGGTTGAAGCACAAAGTGGGCATCCTCCAGTGATGGGAAGGGCAGGGCAGCCCCAAGGGCTCTGGAACAGCTGGGAAAGAGGAGGTGGCTGGGTTTGCTGAGGATCTCTGGTTGCTCAGGACAGTAAGGTCTGACCAGGAGGAGCTTGAAAGCACCTTACAGGACTGTCCAGGGGGTTAAACAGCAGAGTCCAGCCTTTAAAAAGGCACACAGGGAAAAACCCAGCCTGGCTGTAGACCAGCAAGCTGAGCTGTCCTCCTGACATGGAGCAGACTCTGCTTACATGGATGAATAATCCAGTGATGGCTGGGAAACCCCAGCCCGGTGCTGGATGGTTCTGATACATGGGGTGAGGATGCAGCTCCACGAAATGCCTGCTCTGTCCCTCAGACCCTGAGGTCATCCCAGGGATGAGCTCTGCCCATCCCGGCCCCATCCACGCCCAGAGCGCTGCTGGAGAAGCCCACTTTGTGCTGCTCCCTTTTCCCCAGCATCTCCTGTCCCACGTGCTCCCTCCACCACCTTTCACTCCAGCTCGGGGGACACATCCCAGGGAGCACCAGGGTGCAAGGACGGTGCAGCCCCATCCCTGGGTACCCAAAGCCTGTGGGAGCAGAGCCCGGCTCCTGTCTCAGAAATGCCATTTTCTGTGTTTCTGAGTGCTCTGACTGACCTGAACCAGCACCATTTCCAGCGTTACCATGGTGATGGCTGCCTGGAAAAGTCTTGCAATGGATGCACAGAACAGAGTCCAGCCAGGCAAAGGCCCCTGTGGCCAGTCTGGAGCTGACACAGCTGCTCCTTGCACCCCCAGCCCTTCCTCCTGCAGCCAAGGAACCTGCCCTGTGCCCATGGTGTGTGGCAGGAGCTGGGCATGGAGGTAATTCCACATATCCATCTGTGTTCTGTGTGCCCAGCTCGCCTGGTCCAGCAGCCCCAGCCCAGCTCAGCACATGGCTGCAGGAGGGATTGCAGCAGGAACAGCTCAGGGAGTAGATGCTTCGGGTGATTAATTTGCATATGTAGATTTTATGAGTTGGTTTTTTCTTTCTTATGACTCCTTACCATAAAAACTAAGCTCCCGTGTCCCTCTCCACCTCTCCTCCTCTCTCCCCAGGCTCTATCAGACCCTGTGGCTGGCAGCAGGATGGTCTCACCTGGCTGTGTCACCCTGAGCCCACGTGTCCTGCCCACAGCAGGACACAGCACTCCGTGACCATCAGACCACCAGCTCTGCCGTGACACAGCTGGCCATTCCCTCTCCTGCCTCGTCCCCTCCAGGGCTAGGACAGCTGGCCAGGGTGAGCAGAGTGTCAGGAACCAGCAGGACTGGCAAAACCAGCAGTCACTCATGGGCCTTCTGCTGGGCACAGCCCCAGGGATGCCCACGCAGTGCTGGGTTGTTGCTGCTCCACTTTGCTGGGCTCCAGGTGATCCAGTGTGCAGCCAAGGGCTCCATCCTGCCATCCCTGCCCACAGCCACTTCTGGAGGTGATGGCTTGGCCCACGAGACAGTTCCTTGGGAGAAGAGAGAGCACAGCCTGTGGCTGCAGAAGGAGGTTCATGCGGGATGGTGACTGTCCATTCCCTGGAGGAAGGAGGGAACAGAGCTACTGGACTCCCTCTGCCCCTGCCCAGACACAGCCCTTCCCCTCCAGCCAGGAGGACCTGGGAGCTGGTGTTCCTCAGGTCCTGACTCACCCCCTCCTCGAGCTGGTGGCTGCTTTGCAGGAGGAACTGCCTTGCAGAAGCTGCAGCACGGATCAGTGAGGTTGGGAGGACCTCTGGAGGTCTCAGCCCAGGCTCCTGCTCCGAGCAGAACTGGCTGCAAGGCTCCAGGGGGTCACTCAGCATCTCCCCCTGTCCTTTTGAAAACCTCCAAGGACAGAGGTGCCACCACCTCTCCAGACCCTGTCCCAGGACTGCACCACCCTCCTGGGGAAGCTTTTCCTCATGTCCAGCCAGCATTTCCCACATCAATCCCTATGGCCTTCTGCCCTTCCCTCTGCAACGAGCCTGGCTCCATCTTGATCCCAAAGATCCAGAATGATTTGTCACAAGGGTTACTCACTGGCAGAGCCACCAGGATGTTTATCGTTGCCTCTAAACACCACAGAGCAAATCCCAAGGAGTGAGCAAAGCTGTGAGGGTGAGCACAGCACGTACCCCCAGCCCAACAGCCTCAGCATCCCAGTCCAGCTTTCTGGTAGGAATCAAGCCCCATTTCATTTGAAAACAAACACCACAGCAATGTTTGAAAGGATTTGCTGGAATTGGCCAGGTGAGTTTCTAACTCTCATCTGTTCTTAATAAACTCCATAGGATGTGGGATGACTTTCAGGCTACATTTTGACCTGTGCTGACACCAGGTTTGGGATGATTCACAGCATTCCTAAAAGTCACATCCTTTTGCAATGGCAACTCCAAACCAAGAACCTCCAAGCCAGGAGGGAAAAGACAGGCTTACCTATGAGACCAGCAGGAAAGGCAGGGACATGATGCTTTTGCTAATACTCCCCAAATATTCCTCTGTTTAAGTACAGAGAGGTTAGCTGGGAATTTACAAGGAAAATGGTGTTTAATTCATGAATGGACAAGGAAGTGAGTTTGTTGAGAAACACAGCCTTAACCTCAAGCTGGTTTTTGGATCCATGACTTGCTGACAAGTGAAACAGACAAAATTCAAATGTTGATTCAAGATCCCAGCCCTCAGAATTCAGAACTGTGCAGTCTGTACTTGTGTCCTGCCACTGCTAAACAGCAGGATTAGTCCAGCCATCCCACTCAAGGCCTTTCCAGTTTAGATACTTTCCCCAATTAACCTTTTTCTCTGCTTTATTACTTTGCAGTATTGGGTTTGGGGATGGTTCCACACCAAGCCCCCTCCACAGCTGGCACGTGGGACCAAACATCATGTTCCAAGGGGCAGTTTCATGTTTTTGTCACCTGAGGAACAAATTAAACAGGAATCCCTCAGTCCTGGATCGACCTTCTACCTTCCCAGATATCAGCACTCATGTCTCTCTCAGCCTGCCACTTGCCTTCCTTCTACTGCAGTCTCAGTGAGATCATTTTCCCTGTTCCCCTTTCCAAGCACTGCTATCCCAGCCTTGTCTTTAGCTGCCAAGCCCAAGGTGACCCTGGGCAGGGCGCTCTGGCAGTTTGTTGGTGGCTGTCACGTCCTTGCCAGCTGCCTGCTCTCTGCTCCCAGCCCCGTGTTGGTATTTGCAGCAGACGTTTGCAGGGCCTGGGATCCTCAGGATCCCCCAGCACTCCCAGTGCCTGGCCTTGGGCCAGGAGCAGTGGGTTGGTGACCTTTGTGGAAGCCCGAGGCAGTGCTCAGGTCTGAGCTGTGCTTGGCAGCCAGGCCCTTCCCCTGTCCTGGGGTGGAGTTGCAACCTCAAGCTGACAGCACCCAACTTGCAACCACGGGTTTGTGGCATCTGTGCTTCCTGGGAGCATTTTGTAATGGAAAAGTACCAGCTCCTCTGACCCCCCCCTTGTCAGGGAAGTGCAAGAACCACTCTGGCTCAGCTGCCAGACTGAGCCCAACTAGACTGGGAAACACCACCACCATCACCTTCCCCCAGGCAGAACCACCAAGCTCTCTGGCTGCAGCCAGGGCTGCAGATGAGCAGGTGTAAAACCAGGACAGGTCTAACACTGTGCCCTGAGCTATTCCTCCACCTCCTCAAGGGAGCCTGGCTGGGGGTGTCATAGCTCAGACTACCCCAAATGCTGCACAGGGGCTCCCTCCCCACCTGAGACATTTGGTTCTGTGTCCAGCAGAGGGACAGCCAGCTCTGTGTGCTCCAGCTCTGCTTCCTTGGAGCCTGCAGCACCCCTGGTCCACAGCTTCCAGTTTTCCTCAAGGCAGCAGAGCACTCCATGAAAGAACATCCTTGGGGGGAATCTCCTGGCCACATCAACATGGGTGTAAGGAAAAGAGCAAGGGCAAGGTCTCTCAGCAAAGGCAGGATGAGAGAATGGAGGGCTCCAGCTGAGAAGTCAGGATTCTCCACATCCCCCTTCCCACAGAGAAGCTCCCGCTCCACTCTTGCAGTGCCTCTGTCAGCACCCCTTGGACCCAGTGCGACAGGAGCTCCCCCCCAGGTCTGGCCAAAAGCTCCTTCTACCCCTCATCACCCAGCAAACCTTCCCCAGGCCACAGATCCTGCACAGTGAGCAGCACTAAGGACAGTCAGGTCCAAGGACAGGCGGTACTGGCCCTGGGAGGACACGCAGCCAGAGCTCCCAGTCCCAACCCTCCCACCCCTGGTCCAGAGCAGCAGCTCCTAATTGCCCCCCCTGCCATGCCAAACAGCCCCCTCAGTGCTGGGAAGCTGTGAGGCACCCGGGACCCCCACAGGGCTGAGAGCAGGACCCAGGCAGGCGCCAGCCGGGCTCGAGGGGCCGGGGCTGTGCCGGCACGTTCCAGCAGAGCCATGGAGGGGGGCCAGGACAGAGCCACGGTCTGGAGCTTTGCTGGGAGCTCCATTAAAATGCATGAGCTGCGCTGGCCCTAATGATGAGCAGAGCTGTCAAACAAGGAGCTTGTCCCAGCTAATTATCTCTAACGAGGGCAGAGTGTCAGGGTCCCCGAGGAGCTGGGCAGCAGCTTCCCACTCAGCTCAGTTGCAGCAGAGAGAGGAGATAAGCAAATCTCATTGTGCTGGCCTAGCTGCACAATCATTAATTAGGCAAATGTGACCTTCTGTGCCAGTTTGCTCTTGAGAACCTGGACTCACTGGAGCCGGGACACACAGGCTGGAAACATCCCAGCTTTTGCCACCCAACCTGTCCCTCCCGTGCCCCTGCAGAGGCAGCACAGCCTCAGCCTGGCAGTCCTTACCAGCCAGCCCTACCAGTCAGGGGCTGTGCCACACTCCCCTGGGGGGCTCAAGTACCCCTGGGGAGGGCTCCAGCCCCTTTTCTGGCCCAAGGAGCAGCAGAGAAGTCTGATCTTCATGAAACGCTGTTTAGATCACATTCAACTCAACCACGTCCCTCACCCCAACCCCCAGCACAGCCCTGCACAGGCTCTGTGCTTACCCAGCACCTGCCTCTGCATCTCCTCTCCCCCAAATCTTTAAGGCACTGGGTGCCACTCCCCCGTGGTCCTACTCCACTCCAGTGCAGAGGGGACGAACCACACTCTGCTCTACAAGCCCAGTTTCTCTCTCCTCAGTCACTGTGGCTCACAAATGGAGCAGTGCACTTGCCCTGATGAACCAGAGAGGGGGAACATGTCTCAGCCCAAGACATAGTTAAGGAGAAGTCTCTTCTGGGGGCAAGTAATGATCCAGAGATACAGCTCACAAAAGGTCCAGCCTGCAAGCTCTGTGCTTGTCCCTCCCCTCAGAGCTGAAGGGAGAGGGGGAGAGGCTGGTTTTGATCCACCCAGAAACCCACTGCAGGACCACAAAGCTTCCAAACAACACCAGGGACACACAGTGCTGTTCACCAGCCTGTAATTATGGCAAGTGCTTTGCACTCCCTTGTTGCCAGACAGCAGCAAAGGCTTCAACACCCATTTCAACTACATTTGTACAAAGTGAAAGATTTAAAAGTCACCAATTTCAAAGAGAAACAGCACAGTAACCCAGAGGTTAGTGAGCTGTGTGGCCCA